CAGGAGTACCCTATGTGCAAACATGTTGTCGTCAATGTGATGACAAGGGACAAAGGCAGGCTTCCCCACCTTGGTCATTCCAGACTAAAGGAGCAAGATGTGACAGCCCTCCTGCCCTGGGTGGCTTGGGGTGGGGGGTGCTCTAAAGGGCACGCATTGTTAGACCAAGTGGACAAATTAAAACAAGACAGTGAAATGAACGGGTTGCATCCGTGGAAACTGATGACGAGCCCCGCCCTGTGTCACATGACCATGAAAGAAACACACACCACAGCTGGGTGTGCAGCCTTTAATCCCAGCATTTCAGAGGCAGAGGCGGGCGGGGTCTCTGTGATGGGAGTGTTCTCTGCGATCTGGGTAAAGGGTGTGTGGGAGCTCCATGTAGCACCTGAATCTTTGCAGCTCTTGCAAGTTTTAAAGTAACTCCAAAGCTTTTAGGTTTGTTTCAAATCCAGTCTTTGGACAGAGACAGAGAACTTTCCATGGCTGGGGAGTTATCTTGCATCAAGTTGAGATTAGGTAAGTATGCATCTTGGAATCCAGGGGAAGCTCATCACTTCTGCCAAACTCTTGTCCACGAGAAGGTCTAGATGCCCCTGCACCGTGGGAGCTGGCAAACTGGAAGTAGAGGAGGGAGAAGGCAAACAAAGGCATCAGTCTCTCGCCCAACTACTAAACAGACCACTCCAGCAGACACCACACACCCAAGAGTACAGGAGCCACAGAAATTGGACTCCGTGGGACTTTTAGTGGGAGACAACTCAGTTTTCTTTAAGGGGCTGGCCACTGGCTGTGTGGCCATGCTCCAGTGAGTATATGGGCAACACAAATTGGACTTGTTTTCTTCCTCCTCCTCCTCATCTTCCTCTTCTTCTCCTTCTCCATCTTCTTTTTGTGGGGTCAAAAGTGTCAGAGGAGCAGACCAGGGAGGACTGGGAAGTGATCAGAGTGCATTATGTGAAATTCCCAAATAATCAATAAAAATATTACATTGGAAAAAACAATGGGGACCCAAAGTTGGGTGGGTAGGGAAGGGGGAGTGGGTCTTGGGAAAATTGGGGCTGTATATGAAGATACAACGTATAAAATTCTTAAAGAATTAATTTTTTTAAAAAAAGAAAAGAGGGGAAAAAAAGTCACACCAGTTACCAGATCAACCCAGGCTTCAGAAAGCTGTGAGGGAGAAGAAAGAAAGATAAGAGAGGATGATGAAAAACCTAGAAATATAAGCTAGGGCACTTTGGGGGATAGGTTATGCCAGGGCGGGGTGGGGGTGGGGTGCTGAGCATTGGGGTGGTCCCGACAATCTTATTGACGTTAGTCTGGAAGTGTGAAGACAGGGTGAGACAGGGGTATGGGAAGGGCAAAGCAGATGTCAAGCGTGAAGCCCCACACTGGTGACTCTCACCGAGAAGAGACCACCCACCCACCAATGGCTGACAACTGTGCCTAGTGGCCCTCCCGTCATTTGGTCATTTCTCCTCTAGCTGTCCACAGCCGGTTCAGGGTCTTCCCCTGCACTCCCCTGGCCTTGCCACCCTGCAATAAGGTGGGGGTGCTCTGAGAGGAGGAACCTTATTCTCAGGATTCACCTGCCAGCCGGGTCTCTCAGGGAGCTGGGGGACTAGGCATGGGGGTAGGGGGCAGAACTCCTTCTTTTCAAGTCGATGTTGTACTTCTGTCAACTGGTACGGCTTCCCCCAGGCATCCCCAGGGCCTGCAGAGCCCGTGGGGCATTCAGTAGCGCTTCCAGACGCACAGCATGTCCTGGGGTCTTGTGGCCCCCTTTGTGGCCCTGATGGCAGTGAACAGAGGTGAATCCCAGGAAAGCCCCCTGCTAGAGAAGCCCCCTCCCCCCGTAGAGACACCAGGACTCCCGGAAACCTCTACTACCAGATCCTTGAGGGCAGTGAGCTCGAGGGAGAAGCCCTGGAATCAAGCCTGGTTTGAAATTCTATCCCCAACCTGCCTCCGTGTGTTTCAGGCCTGAGTTCCGCCCGCCCCCCCTTCCCCAGCCCGTTGCCTCTATTTCCCACCCGTCAGCTGGGACACTGTGCCCCCACCCCTCCTCGCCGCGGGGAGGTTGGATGAAGTGAGGCAGTTTGGGTGGCTACCTTGATGCTTATCACTATCACCTGGGGAAGTGGGTTTGTCACCGAGGTCGCCACCGGTCTCCTGCAGTCCCTGTGGCCACACTGTGCTCTGACACTAAACTAGCCTAGGCCGGCTACGCTCCAGCCGGACCCTGCCACCCTGCTTCCCCTGCGCCCTCACGTGCCCAGACCCAGGTTTCTCGAACCCAGATGGGGCTCTTTCCCTCTTGAGGCCTTCCAGGGGGTCTCTTGCCAGTATCGACTCCGTCACGTGGACACACAAAGAAGTCGGCATCTGATCAGATCAGAAAGCTGCCTTTAGAAGAACGTAGCCTGTCCCCACCTTGATGAGCGCTCCTCCTTCAGCTAGTGTGGAAAGAACTCTGCCACCCCTAGAGGGCCAGGCGGAGTGGAGGTCAGGGAGTCTGCAGTGAAGAAGGGGGATTCGTAACGATCTACGTGACTTTCCCTGCTACAGTCCCACAGTTTCCCCTAGTCAAAGCCTCGTGGCTGCGTATCATTTCCTGGCTATCTTAGTGAAACAGGACTCAATTCACAGCAGCACGTTATTTTTGTAAACCGGGTCTCAGAATCGGTGTGCAACGTCCGAAGGAAAGTGCAGCAGCGCCATCTAGTGGCCACTGGGGCTCCGTGCAGCTCCATGCTAAGGAAAATCGTGGTGCCTCTGAACCTTGAGGACCTCACCGTAGCTTGCTTGGCCTTTGCGGAGTCTTAAACCCACCAGCCTTTGCTTCCACCTCCGTAAGAAACGCAAAAGCAAAACTGCTCACAAAACCTACATAGCTTGGTATTGCTAAGGGTCCTAAAGGTGCCGCTGGAACAGAGTTCCCTCGATTTTCAGGGTCATGGGTAGGAGCTGGCCAGCCCAAGACGCCGGGTGCAGGCCTTCCTAGAGAAGCTTTCTCCAAAAGCTCGCATCCTTGGGTATAAACCCAGAGAGCACACAGGAGCTCGGACAGGACTGCCCTCTCGTCTCCGATGCCTACCATCTGGGGCAGGGCCTAGGAATCTGCATTCCTACCTAGGCTGTACTGCTTCTCTCGGCTTGTCTGCAAAGCCCTCCTGGTCAACACTGCTCTTGCTCTGGCTGTACTGGCAGAGTTCTGGGGTCCTGGGCCTGCAACTCTTTAGGAAAAGCCAGGGAGAGGAGAGAGGGGGCCGAAACAGCGCTTAGGGGTTGTCTTCTCTAATTTCATACAGCAGGAAGGATCTCCAGCGGGTAAAGACAGGCCCAGCCCTCGGTTGGCAAAGGCCATGTGATCCAAGCGAAGCACCAGGGGGCCAGTGAAGCCTGCATGCTCACCGTCTACATTCTCAGAAGCTTGACAAGGCCACCACCAGTACAACACTCACGCCAGAGACGGTCCGTGCTGAGACGTCCCTACACAACACAGTTTCTGCACCCGGCCAACCAGCACCCATTCCATCTGTCCTTTCCTCAGACTACAGTCCCCAACACGAGAAGTCTGTCTGACACGTAGGCCAAAAGGTGGCGCCAGTGCGCTCATCCAATTAGGAGTGGTCAATAGTCTGAGACACCGTCCTCTGGAACACACAGCCAAACTGGGAAAATTAACGCTAGAGTTATGCATTAGGCACTTCTGAGCACAGTGCCTAAGGCCCGTGAAAGAGTCCTGATGGGTTTCAAAATGTGAAGGAAAAATGGCAATCTGTCCTGGATAATAGTTCACTTCCTACCAGCAGAGTAGCAAGGTGTCATTTGTAATATCTTTGTGTAGGGGAAGGTTCCTAAAGGCTCCCAACGACCCACAAAGGTTGTGATAGTTCCACAGCGGGCACAGTTAGAGTGCCCCTGGGCCCGGACAAATTAACATTTTCCTTTCTTAGTCAGGGTTCTCCAGAAAAGCAGAACTCACAGACTTAAAGAGGGGTGACTGAAGTCACAGGCTGCGGTGGTCTGACGAGTCTGTCAATGGCTGTCTCCTGATGGGAGAATCCAGTGGGTGTTCGGTCTGTGAGGCTGGATGTCTCAGCTGCTCCTGGTCTACACCGGAATCCTGAAGACGTTAGCACCAGCGAAGAAATACCTGCCTCCGCAGCAGGATAGATGAACTCGTCAGCCAGAGTGGGGGTAAGCAGGCAAAAAGCAAAAGCTTCCTTCCCCCCACGTCCTTTTACGTGGGCCGCCACGAAAAGGCGTGGCCCAGACTTCAGTGGTTCTTCTAAAACCTCAAATGACCCAGATTTAGGGTGGGTCTTTCCACTTCAAGTCATCCAATTTTAAAAATAAGAATAAAAAATAGATGAATAAGAACCGTCACAGGTTCATCCAGCTGCTTGGGTTTTAGCTACTTCCAGGTGTAGTCAAGCTGACATCCAAGATTAGCCATCACACTACAAAAGACAGTGAACTGGAGAAAACTAATATACATCAATCTGAACTCTTGGTTCTGAGTGACATAAAGCTAAATCTAACTAACGCTGGCCAAAGGAAGAGAATTTTAACTCTGACAAATGAACTTTAAGGACCATTCCGGCTTCAGGAAAAGCTAGATCCAGGGTCTCAGACCTAGAATCTGGGATCTGCTGGTTCCTGTTTCCATTCTCTGGCCCTCCCCAGATGGTATCAGTCTTCCACGCTCATTTCCCACCTATTTCAAGCCAACCAGACACCCTGAGCCTCTCCTGTGCCGGGAACGTCATCCTCAAAGGGCTCAGACCCGAGTCTCCCACCCCACAAAACCACATGCGGTCAGATGCAGGGGACGTAGCCGGCAAACATCCAGGACCACTTCTGGAAGAAAACACAGATGCTGGACGTTCGTAATGCTCACACTGTCCTCTGCACTGCCCAGTGCACACAGCTGCCCGTGCTTTTGGGGGGGCAAAGTTCAACTTCCTCCAGCCCACGAAACCACCTGACATCCCAGGGTCTCTGCTGACATAGTGCAGGTTTTGCAGACAAGAAGAGCAAGGCTCAGAGGGAGATAAATCCCTGACCTTTTAAGGAAGGTCACCTGCCCTGGAAACTGCAGAGCCAGAGGGGAAGCCTAATCTAGAGAAAGAGGTCACAGATTTAAGGGAGGAAGGAAGTCGGGGGCTAAAACACCCTCCCAGACACCATTTCGCTAAGGTCCCTGCCGGCATGTCACTGCCCTGAGACTGAGGCTTCCTGATAGCTTAAGGCTTTTTTGTCACCTCCAACAGATTCATTTCCAAGTCACCTTTCCAGGGCGCAACACTCTCGTGTTCAGTCTCTGTCTCTACCTTTTCTTAAGTCAGCTTAGCCGATACACTTACAACGCCAATCACTTCCGAGGCCACTGCCAGTCAAAGCCCATGCCTCCAGTCTCAAAGGTTTGCCTCCAAGTAAACGTAGAACCACTGGGTTTAACACTGATCGCCACTCAAAAGCACCCCACTTCTGGGCTGGCATCACAAAGCTGGGCAAGCCAGAGCTAACCGGTCACCCCAGAGCACAGACGACATGTTCCTATGCTAGTCTACACCTTGTGTTTTGTGATCCCTACAGGTGATCTAACTGATGTTTTTCCAGTCTGCTCTGTTCTTCCATCATGAGGCCACGGTCTGGCCACTGCGTCCTTAGCCCAAGCTTGCTGGAATGTGGTCCGATGCCGGACTCACAGTATCCTCTGTGGCTTCTCGGCCTGGGCCCGTTAGTCACCTCTGAATCCCAGCTCACTTCTTCTCTGATTGTTGCTGGGTCAGTGATGGATACAGAGGCCAAGGTGGCACAAGGTCCCAGGAAGCCAGGCAGTCCTAGGCTGAGCACAGCCTCACCTGCCTTTTTTAGACACCACTATCATGCTGGACAATTAGCCACGGTCCAGATGTGTGCCTGGGACTAGTCTCCATGGGAAGACAGGAGCCACCAGCTTCTGAAGCCGAAGGGGCCTTCAAGAACATGCAGAGGAAGATCCCCACCACACTATGTGGAGGCCACCCCCAGGATCTCGGTTCTCACTCAAAGTCCCAGAACAGCCTGGGATACCCAGCTCTGACCCTCCACACAGGTGTCACCAGGAACTCTGGCTGGGAAACTTACCAGGCTATGCCCAGCCCACCCACCATAGGGCATGTCCTTAAAGGATGCATGCCGAGAAGACCACCAGATTTGACAGGATCCAAGTGTTCCTGTCTACTCAAGCTTGTAACTGGCTTTGATCCTGTGCTCTGAGCCCTGGCCTAGCTTCATGGAGTTCTTCATCTGGGCTGACCACCCTATCTGGACCCTCTAGTATTGGAACAGAACAGTCGGCAGCCAGATGAGGAGCAACCGAGGGACCATTTTCTCTGTCTTCTGTTCTCTGCAGTCCGTTGGCATCAGACCCATGAGCGTGCTTTGAGACCGCCCGTATGTTGGAGTGCTCACTGTCAGCACAAGGGTAGAGCTAGGGCTCCAGGACCTCTTATTGCTTCTTGCAGAGGTTGATGCTGCGCTAGCCAGAAAGCTCAAGGTGGGGAGGCAGGCAACATGCCCACCATGCCCAAGAGTCTGTGCCAGCCCTCAGCTTAGCAACTGGCCCATGAAGGGAAACTCCTGTGGAAAGAATCCCCACATGAGTTGAACTTGAATAGGGCAAAAGCACCCTTATCTCAAAGTGAGAGTCCGGGAGGCACAGGGTATACATGGGGGTGGGAAGATCTTGGGCACATTGTTACCAGATGCATCATCCTAAGCCGCTGTGACCCAGGCATCCCCAGTTACTAGACATACACCCACACACCTTCAGCTTCCCAGTCAGTCCTGCAAGAGAAACATTGCTGTACAGAGGGATGACACTGTCCTCAAACACTTGGCTGCCAGGGCTGAAAAGAAAAAAACCAGGTCACATAAAAATAAAAAATCTAAAAGCATACGTGTGTCCAAACTGAGGGTCCAGAGAGAAAAGAGCCCTAAACCAACTCACAGTGGGATGCTGAACCTCTCTGACTACCAGTTAGTTCCCTTTCCCACTGGAAGCTGCCAGGGCTGTGCAGGATGTGCAGAGGAGAGAAGCGAACAGGAGGGAGCGGCATGAGGAACAGGAAGGGTCCCCAGCTTTGTGCATCCAAGTCAGAGATGGAGGATCAAGTCACCTCCCAGCCGCCCCACAGGGGGGCGCCTCCTGCGCTTGGGGGGGAGGCTGAGAAGGAATTTATTAGTGACAACATGACAGAACTGTGAAGTCTGTACTCCTGATGCATGCTTAACCTTTTTATCAGAGAGAGGAGGAAGAGGAGGAGGAGGGAGGAAGAGGAAGGAGGTGGACAAGAAGGGACGACCGCTGAAGGCCCTGTTTAGAAGTCTGCATTTTCTCTCATCACTAAGTCACATCACTCAAATTTGGGAAACGGGATGGTCCATCCTAGCCCCTTTTAAAGACAAATGCGCTCTGCTGCACCACACGCAGACACTCAGGCGCTCTCTCTTTCTTTCCCTGGGGGAGTACATGGTGTTATTAAGTATGCGTGCCTGGATGGGGAAGGGTGGAGAAGGTCTCCTGGGATTTTGGAAGAAGTGGGTGAGAGCCCCAGAGCATTCCCCGGGCTGCCTTGGTTTGTACGAGGCTGCCATCGTGTGGCAACTTCAGGTATTGCTTCCAGAACCCAGAAGCGCATGCTTGGTTTTTGAAGGAGCGGTCAAGACCCTCTGATAACTAGTGCTTTGAGGAAAATGAGATTCAAATGCTGCTCTCTGCTTCTGACTTCTCCAGGAGACCTCCCGAGCCTTCGCTAGGGCGGGCAGAGACGTCTGAGGAGTCTTATCAGTGAAGCAGTCAGAAGGTGCTATACAAAAGGCAGTCTCCAGCATGGGGCTGGTGTTCCACCATCATCTTGTAAGATGTCACCATAGTGGGACTACTACATGGTTAGAGCTCCTGAGGCTTTCTGTGTGCAGGGTACCAGGTGCTCAGCCAGCAGCAGCTCCCCTGAAGTCCTCTGAGAAGGCAGCACCCCAAAAGTGGCCTGAGTCCTGAGCAGAACAGACAAACGGGAAGAAGGAAACCTATAAGTCACAACGTGGCTTCATGGTTGAGGGGTGGGGAGGATTAGTTGGTGCCAACTGGGTCACAGGCAGAGCCCAAGGAGGAAAAGGCCACCAGCTCAGCTCCTGTGGCCAGCATGGCCGGGAATGTAAGCCCAGAAACGACGATGGGACAAACAAGGAGATGCCGCCGGTGTGCGGCAGTTCCAGCATGGCCAAGCCTCTGCTCTTCAAGCAGACTGCAGGAAGAAAGAAGTGCGGTCCTCTTTGGAGGGGACACTGGAAAGGTGTGAGGAATCGCCTGGACTTGATTCTCTGCCATTCAACGGGCAGAGTTCAGAACAAAGATGAGCACGGTGAAGCATGGTGTATGAAGATCTAGTCCTGATTTACACACGCCTGAGTGTAAACTGTGCAGGTCGGAACTAAACACAGATGCCCTTTGGAATCCCATGGGGACAGGTCCTAGGGCAGCACCGCCATGCCAGGAACTGAGGCTCTCCAGTGTTTTGTAGAAAATGACACATGGGCATAGAACTTGCACAGACCCTCCCTCAAGGCTCGGCCATCTGTAGATGACATGCAGTGCCTGGTGTGTGAATAGTTGTTAAACTGTACCATTGGGCCTGGTGGGGATAATGACCAGGGAAAGTGGGCTTTCGTACTTGGTGACACCGGCAACGTCTCAAGGCATACGTTTCGTGAGTCGTTGAACCCACAGAAGGGAACCTGTAATGAAGGGTCGACTATACATGTAGGAATGAGGTGGCATGTTTACCATTTAACAATTAAAGGCTTTTGTCCCAGCATCAGCTCCTGAGCGCTCAGAGGACTCTTCTGGGGCTGTTGGTCCATACATGTCCACCAGGGCCACAAGGCTTGGAACTGCACAGTGTCATGCTCAATATTATCCATCAAAAGGCAGTGGGCCAGGTCTTTGGACTCAAAACCTGGTATGACTCCTGCCAACCCAGTGTCACAAAAGAGACCACAGAATGACATGCTTTCTCCCCTGTTCACCTTTAGACTGTCCCCAGGACTGAAGGAATCCTGTACTACACAGAGGGGACAGAGAAACACAGACACAGCCAAGCTTTTGAGACATATGAAACAACATTTATCAAACTTTTTAAGCCTTCCGTTGGTTTTAATGACATTTTATTATTTCCTGGGGCTGGGATGTAGCTCAGTAACTGGCAATGGTCTAGCATGTAGAAGGCCCTGGGTCAGATCTGCAGCAACCCCTCTCCAGCATTCGGCAAACTGAGGCAGGAGGTTGGCTGGTACAAGACCAAGTAGGGCTATATAGAAGATCAAAAACAGACAGAGAGAGAGAAACCCTAAGTGTTTTTTTTTAATTTTCATTTTATAAATAAAGCATCATAGCAATGCTTATCAACTCCATATCTCCACATCCGAGAACATCCCTGAGTGCCACTTCTGAGGCCTGGCACTGGACAGTCATGGCCACTGTACTGTATGTGTGTGGGGGTGCAGGGGGTGGTCCTCATCCTGGTCTTAATTTGCATTTCCAGTATTACTAAGGCTTTCCACAAGCTAGAGTCCTGGGGCTTACCAGCTTCCAGAAAAGCTGTCTGCTCATTGTGAAGAGCCCAAAAGAAATGTGAAGGGGACTTGTCTGATGGAAATGATGTTATGAGGATTAGCCAGTTCCATTAAGCAGCCCTTGAACCTTCACAGAAGCACCTTGATTGTAGTGGTCACTTACAGGATTATTCTGGCATGGAAGGAAATTACTCTATCCCGATACCTTGTGTGAAGCCCAGAGGTTCAGCTTGGACAGTCTGAGACTGGTTCTTATGACTGTGTGGTGGCTGAGGCTCAGGACAGCAGCCACTGACTTCTCTCCCTCTCCCACGGCAATCATTTGTGCCCTGAAATGGAGGCACCAAAGAGAACGAGGCAACATGAAAACATGTATCTCCCAATGTGATGGCCACTCTTAGTTGTCAACTTGACTACATCTGGAATTAACTAAAACCCAAAAATGGAGAGGCACACCTGGGAAGGACTTCTGCTTAATTTGAAGTGGGAAGATCCACTTCTGATCCTGATCTTTGAAGTGGGAAGACACATCTTTAATCCAAGTCTTTTGAGGTAGGAAGACCTACCTCTAATCTAGGTCATGCTTTCTGCTGGAAACCTATATATAAGGACGTGGAAGAAGGGAGCTTTCTCTTTTTGCCTACTTGCTCTCACTCTCACTGACAAGTCCACTCCTTCACTAGCATTAGAGCCTACATCTTCAGGATTCCATCATATACTGAAGACCAGCTGAGACATCCAGACTCATGGACTGACTCAAGTACTGGACTCTTGGACCTTCTGTTCATAGGCAGCCAATGTGGGATTATCAGGACCATAGCCTATGAGTCATTCTAATAAATGCCCTTTCTATATATATAGAAAGAGATTCATTCTATAAGTTTTGTTTCTCTAAAGAACACTGACTAATATATACTCACAGCTTCTCAAATGAAAGCTCAAGGACCTAATTTAAAACTTCCATCTGTAGGACTGGGTGGCAGAGCACTTGGCTAGACATTTGTGAGGTCCTGGGTTCCACTGCCTACCCCAGGTTTTAGGGGTGAAGAAGTACTTTCCAGCTGCAGATCAGTAACACTCTACAAAGAAAACTGCAAATTCGGACATTCAGATTGTCTCCCATAAGCAGGATGTGTGAGTCAGGGTTTTCAAAAAGAACAGAACCAATGGGATGTGATTTGTGTGCTGTGTGTACGCCATCTTAGTTAGGTTCTATTGCTGTGAAGAGACACCATGACCAAGGCAATATATAAAAGAAAGAAAGCATTTAATTGGGGGGGGGGAGTCCATTACCATCATGGCTGGGAGCAAGGAGGCAGACGTGGTGCTGGAGAAGCAGCTGAGAGCTACATCCTAATCAGTAAGTAGAAGGTAGAGAGACTGGGCCTGGCATAGGCTTTTGAAACCTCTAAGCCCACCCCAGTGACACACCTCCTCCAACAAAGCCAACCCTCATACTCCTTCCCAAACAATTCCTATAACTGTGGACCAAGCATTCACACATATGAGCCTATGGGGCCAAGCTCATTCAAACCACCACATTCTTCTCCCCCATAGGCTTATAGTCATGTCATAATGCAAAATGCATGTAGTCCAAGTTCAAAAGTCCATATTGTTGAGTCTTTCAGTCTCAACAATGTTTTAAAGTCCAAAGTCTCTTCTGAGACTCCAGGCAATCTCTTATCTGTAACCTCCTATAAAAATCAAAAGCAAATGACATACTTCCAACATACAAAGGCACAGAATATATTATCATTTCAAAAGGGACAAAAGGGGGACATTGTGAGGAAATACTGGACCACAGCAAGACTGAAACCCAGCTGGGCAAACTCCAGACTCTGCCTCTTCACATACGATGTCAAAATGCCCTTCAGATTTCCAACCCCTTCCAGACTCATTGTCGACATCACACTTCTCTCTCTCGGGCTGGTTCCACTCTGTTAGCAGCTCTGCTTGGCAGGTATTCCACAGCTCTGGCATCTCCAGCATCTTGGAGTCCAGACACTGCCTTTACAGCTCCACAAAATCCTCTCTCCGGTCTCCACACAGGGACAGCCCCATCTCACACCTGGCCTCTGTAGCTTTCTTTAACCGACAGAGGAAGGTTCCACAGCCCCGCTGCTCTATCTTCCTTGATAAGCCAGAACTGGATAAAGCTTTGTGGCCAAAGCTGCCCAGTTCTTCTGCTTGCTGGGTGGGGCTGTCACCTTCCTCCTTTCATTTGCATAAGCTTTCCTTGATTGTTTAAGCCTATGATATCCCTCAGGCCTTTTCT